GGCTAGATTTTAAGAATTTGAACGTAGAAAGGGCTTTTGACCATACAACATCCATTTTTGTTAAAAAATTAGAAAACACAAGAATAAATGGATCTTTCCTTCAAATGATAAATAGCATATATCTAAAACCAAGAGCTGCCATTATTTGCAACAGAGATAAATTGGAATCCTTCCCAATAAATTCAAGGTGAAAAAAGAATGTCCCTTGTCACCACTTCATTTTGACATGGTACTAGAAATGCTGGCTATAGCAATAAAAGAAGAAAAAGAGATTGAAGGGATAATCATAGTTAAAAATGTAACAAAATTATCACTTCTTGCAGATGATATACTTAAAGAACCCTAAGGAGTCAATTAAACAATGACTTCAGCAAATTTGTAGGATATAAAATAAATCCCCTACTCCTTCATTGAAGGGAGGGAGGTACATTTTCTCAGCTCTTTTCAAGGGGCAGGTATAGTCGTTATAATTATACAGTGATCAGTTCATTATTCTGTTTTATGACTTATTTTTCATGATGCCATGCTGTCTCTTTGTGATCACTTCTTCCTTTTCTAGATATTTATTAACCATATCTATAATAATTTAGAACTTTTCCAGGAATCAAAGTCAAGCTCATTGGCCTGCTCTTCCATTTTTTGAAAATTGGAATGCTGTTTGTCTTCCTCTGATTCAGTAGCCCAATGTTTTGAGAGGTCAATTACATTGGCTCAGTAATCTTGACTATCAGTTTTTTTTTTAGTACTCTTTGATGTAGTTCAACTGGTCCTGGTGAGTTGAACTCATCTAAAGCATCTAACTGCTCTCTTTCTATCTCTCTACTTATTATGGGTTTGAACTTCCTATTAGCCATTTTTCTTCTGTCCTTTTAGTCCCAAGATCATTCTTATTGGTAGAGAAAATAAGCAAAGTAAAAGTTGAGCACAATAATTTTTTGTTTTCCCACCTTCCCTGAACAATGGTCCTTTTATCTTCATCTTTTTCCCAGTACTTTAAAAACTCCTTCGTTTTTATTGCTTTTCCTTTTCTCACCAGCCTTAGCACATTCTGAATTTTGACTGGCCTGCCACTATTTTTACAGGACTACCCCGTGCTTTTGTATTTATACTTTATTATTAGCCCACTTGTCCATCTTCTGTATATGTCTCTAAAAAAAAAATTTAAAAATTTCCCATGTATCCAGATTGATCTTTTTAGGCAATCTTGTCTTTTCTTTTTAATGGACTTATCTTTTTGTTTTCAGGATTTTATTCTTGAGCATTTTTCATTCCTCGTGGTTCTTACTTGTCCTGTAGAATTTTTGATTGAAGTTCAGTGCTCTGTCCACCATAGCATGATGCCTCTCTAGAGGCCTTTAAATATATAGACATTTGAGTGCCGTGGGTTTTATTATTGACTCCTTGCTTGGGTTTTTTTTTTTTCTTAGTTTCTGGATGTGCCTACTGCTATGTTGTAGCTTCTAGTCTATGGCATCTGCTTTGGTGGATATGAATTGGCATATTTCTCTCTCCCTTTTAAAAGTCTCTTTAAAAATTTTTATTTGTAGGACTTTGGGCAGATGCATTCTTACCAACTCTTATTTTATGTCCTGTTTGTAGCCAAGAGCCTGTCATTCTTATATTGTACACTGTCATCCAGAACAAATTTCATTTTCAAATCCAAACCTGCCGTTCTTTTCTGGAGCCCTTATCATCGTCAAGTTTCTTGCCCAAGTTTATAATTCTAGTCGTTTTTGATTTCTTTAAAATAAAAACATTGTTAATATATGTATGTATAGGTGTGTGTATATATTTATCTATATTACACATAGAATCCTAGAGGTGCAAGGGTCTCAGATATCCTAAACCCAACCTAAAGCTTAAATTCTCTCTACAGTCTCCACAACAAATGGTGTTCAGTTTTTGCTTGAAGCTCTATAGTGATGGGGAACTTAAGCATTCATGAACCCATTTCAATTTTTGGACTGCCCTAATAGAGATTGAAAATCTGTTTCACTATAACTTTAACTGTTTATCTTAGTTTTGCCCTCTGAAGCCAATCAGAGTAAATCTAATTCCTCTTCCATATAAAAACCCTTCAAATATTTGAAGATTACAGTTATTCACTGTTTTACTCTCCCCCTCCCTTCGGTAAGTATTATCTGTCAATTCTTAGAGTTCTGGCTAAGTAATATTTTTTTGCAAGCTCTACTTGTTTTTATCATGAAGTTGTTTTCTTCGGCATTTAGCTCTTGGGTTTCTCTTAATGCATAGTGATTCTTCAGAGGAGTCATAATTTTCTTTTGTTTACTCATATTTTTAACCTTAGTTTCTAGATTGGGACTTTGTGCTAGGTCCTGACCACTTTGGTCTAGATGCTGCTGCTGAATTGCCTGCAGTTCTGGATGGGATGACTATTTTCAGCTCCCCTTCACTATCTTCTTCAGCTCTGGTCTGGGATAGTTCTGGTTGGTTTGGGGCTGAGATAGTGTCCTATCCTCTGCTTTATTCTTTTTATGGCTCAGCTTGGGTAGTAGTCTTGGCTTATCCCTACCAAGATGAGGCTCATCCTTCCTTATCCTTGCACAGTCTTTCTGGGAGTTGGTTCTGTGTTCTGCTGAGGACCTGATAAGCCCCTACCAGATGACCGCGAGGTGCCTTTGCCTCAGTTCTATGTCCTTAATTCCCTCAGCACAACCACCAAATAAGGGGGATAGTGCCGGTTGCCTGGAAGTTCTCTTCTCTCCCGTACTTCATCCCCCCTTCTAATCAGATTCAGTCACTGAATCCTTTTGCTGCCACTTCTCTGCTTCCCTTGATAATTGCTACTTTTCTTGTTTCTCTGCATGGTTCCTTCTTGGGAGTTGGCTGGCTTTAGATCATTTGGATGATTCTTAAATTGTCTCAGTCTCCTTATACAATGACTTACTCAGAACTGACTTTTTCCCAGGTACTGATTCCAACAGGCTAGGGCTGAGATTTTGACAACTTTGGACCCTCTTCACTGGAGGTTAGCTTGGATGTAGGACCCTTTAGCCTATGCCTGCAAAGAGTACCCAGAGGCTGCTGGCTCCTTTCTTGTGCAGTCCTAGGTTGGATGGAGGAGCTTACTGGTATTTGTCTTTTGTTTTATTGATCACTGCTTCATTTGATTTTCCTTTAAATTTTTGCTGACAATTTTTTTTGGGGGAGTTAGGCTTTTTACCTTGTCAAAATGTAAAGTGTACGCGCGCGCGCGCACACACACACACACACACACAGAATGAAGGCATTAGCAGTTGGGAGAATCAGGAAATGCTTCATGCATAAGGTTGTGTTTCATTTGTGTCTTGAAGAGAGGGACTTTGTGAAGCAACGGTAAGGAGGAAGTGCAGCACTGTCTCTGGTTGTTTGTTCCCTGGATTCTTTTTAGCTCATCAGCTTCCTTTTTGAAAATATAGTGTCCCTCATGGGACATAGTATTCTAGGTATCATCTGAAATGAAGAGAGTACAGTATGATACTGTCACCTCCCTCATTCTTAGTGATATATTTCTATTAATGTAGCCTGAGATTGAATAAGGGTTTTTTTTTGGCTGCTGTGTCACACTGAGCCTGCCATCCTCTGAAACTGTCAGGTCTTTTTCATGTGAACGACTTTTTAGTCATGAACTACTTTTGAGTATTCCATCTTGTATTTTATACAGTTGACTCCTTTTAGCTCAAATGTTGGTTTTTGCATTTGTCATTAAATTTAATCTCATCAGAAGTTGCCCATCCTTCTGACATTTTGACACGATAATTCTGTTATTTAGTGTGTCAGCTATTCCTCCTGTCCGAGTGATCTGAAGATTTGAAAAACATGCTATCTATTGCTTCATTGATGACATTGATTAAAATGTTGAACAGTACAGGGCTTTGGACAGCATCTTGGAGAAAGAAGGCAAAGTTATTGAGGGAAAAAAATTGACTTGGGAATGTAAAGTAAGAAATTTTCATTGCCCAGTTTTTCAGAATGAAAATTAACTCTATCCATTTGTAGCTGCTTCTTAGCTTAGTCAAACCCCCTTCCTCCCGCCCCCAACCTGAACTTTGATTTCATTGGTATTTAATTTAGTAAGTGAAGAAACTCCACTAATTATGATTTTAGTGGACTTAGTATACGGAGAAGTTAAGTGACTTGCCTAAGGTTATTTATCTGTCTTTAAGCTTTTTAAAAACTTTGTTCATATTAGGGTCTCCTGTTTAACTGCTTGGTTAATGTCATCTTTTTTGTTTTCTCTTATTTTTAAAGGCACTGTGTAAATTTCCATTGTGTACGGAGTAAAGTTCTGCTGCTGGGAAAAGCTTATTACACAAGAACACTTAATTACTTAGGAAGAGTATAAAACTAGATAGATTATAAATTTTGAGAAATGGTCCAGTGCAACTATGATGCATATTTAGCATGATTTGAGAAGCAATGCAGTTTACCACCTGGAGAGGGGAAGGTGTTGAGTAGAAAAGGTTGAAGAAGGTGAACAGCATTTAGTTCCTCCTGAACTACATCTTCATAGTATCATTTAAGTGTTTGAAGTTTTATGAATTCCTAAGACGTCGGTTACATCTGTCTTCAGTTGTCAATATGAAAACATGTTCTAAAAATTTATCCTTGTTCTTGATAGTTTCTTTGCTAAACAAAATGTAAACAAACGTAACAAACATCATTTATGGATACAATAAACTTTCGATTTTCTTTGGTAATAGAAAAATGCAGAAGTATAAATAATGTAAAAATGTACTAACATCCTAGGATTCTAGTAGGCAGGTTTCTAAGATTCTAGTATGTTAATTTTTGCGTTATTTGTAATACTGCATCACTTCATTAGCAAAGATAAATCTATGAATGAATAATATTTGTTACCATAAAACATTCATCATTTGGATTAAATGCAGAACCTCAGAAATTGTTCTTGTGTGGACAGATGTTTGAAAAGTGTTATAAAGCTCAGTTATCCTTGCAGAATGGAGACTTGATATTTTTGTAAATGTTTCTTTTTCTAGGGAACAGAGGGAGAAAGAAGAAATTGAAAAATACCGTATGGAACGTCCTAAAATTCAGCAGCAATTCTCAGATCTGAAAGTAAGCAAGCTATTTAGTAAGCCAATTCTAGTGCTTTTAAGACAATACTCAAGAGTACCATTCTGTTTTTATTAATTTTGGCACAGAACTAGTGTGACTGTCAGTTATTGTTTAATTTATTCAGAATAATGAGTAGGTGGGGATTTCCTACTTTAAAAAAAGAAATCTGTGTGAACGCTGAATGCAGATTAAGGCATACTTTTCTCACTTTCTTTTTCTTTTTCTTTTTTTTTTGGGGGGGTAACATGGCTAATATGGAAATATGTTTTGCTTGACTTCATATCTATAGTTGATATATTTTTTGCCTTCTCAATGGGAAGGGCCTGGAGGGAGGGAGAAAATTTGGAATTCAAAAATTTTAAAAAATAATGTTAAAGCAAAACCACAAAAATAAGTAAGTGAATGCTTGCTGATGGATAAGTGAAAAAAAATCTGTAGCCAAATACAACCAAAAAAAAAAAAATTCAAAGCCTCGCCTAAACCCTTTCTGTAAGTTTTTTCAGTTTAACACAAATCAGTTTGCCTTCTAAGATATGCTGTTCAGGCCCTTAGAGAAGGTTTTTCTCAGTGTTGTGGAATGGTGAGTTGCTAGTAAAGTAGAAAATGTACCTTCACAAAACTATTCTAATGTTAAAGTCTTTTTCAATTAAGGGAATAAATTTGTGTGTTCTAGATTTTAGTTACAAATATGGACTTTTATAATTAAGTTAATTAATCCACCAAATCCCTCCATCATCGTGTGGGTGTTCCATTGATTTTTGGATGCTATACCAATGAAGCACAGACTGGGGAAGCCCTGCCGAGAAGGAAAGGTTTCTAGTACAGGCCTGTAATAGATCGTCTGTGTCTGCTGCCGACTAGCTAAATCATATCACCAGGCTGGCCACAGGCTTGATGGAGTTTTTCAACTTTTGAAGATTGTATAGGAGAAATTGTGGTCTGCGTTGGTAGAGAGAGAGCACTTGCTCTGATAAAACCAGAAATGCTTGAAAAATTGAAGTATTAACTGAAGTGGCCGATTCGTTTTTCCCCAGAGAAAGTTGGCAGAAGTTACAGAAGAAGAGTGGCTAAGTATTCCTGAAGTTGGTGACGCTAGAAACAAGCGCCAGCGGAATCCACGATATGAGAAACTTACCCCTGTTCCTGACAGTTTCTTTGCTAAACATTTACAGACTGGAGAGAACCACACTTCAGTGGATCCTCGACAAACAGTAAGACTCCACACGAATAAAAAACTTATTTTTTCAGATCTAACAGAGCGTTGTGGGGTGTTCATGGTGAAGTCTTGGGAAAGTTAATCCTGGGGATAAGCAAATACAGTGGTTATATAAACTAGATGACTGCTCATGACTTAACCTGAAAGACTTCACAAAGTAAGGTACTTCTTCAGCTCATAAATCTGCTTTTCACTCTTTTTCTTTTAGCAATTTGGAGGTCTTAATACACCCTACCCAGGAGGATTAAATACTCCATATCCAGGTGGAATGACACCTGGGCTAATGACACCTGGAACAGGTGAATTGGACATGAGGAAAATTGGCCAAGCCAGGAACACTTTGATGGATATGCGATTGAGTCAGGTATAATATTAGAATATAGTGCATTCCAGGGAACATGGACTTTTACATCAATGCTGTCCTCCCCACTCCCCGCCCCAGTGTTGATGACAATTTTTATTATTAATTGTTCTTTGAGTTGAAGTTGTATACTCTCTCTTCGGATTTTCACAACAAATCACCAGGATTTGGGATTTTTTCCCCCCAGGAATCCATCAGGTAGAGTTTTTGGTTGTGACCAAAATGACTTTCATTTTTATTTGTCTCAAACTTGTATTTGCAGGTGTCTGATTCTGTGAGTGGGCAGACTGTGGTGGATCCCAAGGGTTATCTCACAGATTTGAATTCTATGATTCCTACACATGGAGGAGATATTAAGTAGGTATTTTAGGGGGATACTGTGTTTGGGATGATATGTTAAATTACTTTAATTGTAAATATTTTACTCATTTTGTGATAATATCAAATTGCCATGTAGAAAACTCTGATGCCGTCTAGTTTTTTGTTTTCTTTTAAGTATTTGCATAGAGGCAGCACAAAAGGGAACCAACCTCAAAGCCAGGAAAACCTGGGTTCATGTCCTGCCTTTGACACATACTGGCTGTGTGATCTTGGCAAGTCACTTAACCTCTCAATGCTCTAGGCCAGTGGTATAAAAATCAAATAGAAACAGATCCTTGGGTGGGATGGATGTACATATTAACTTAAAAACCACAAATTGCCATCTATGTTGTATTATATTTTTATTTTTTTAACATTTTCCAATCCCATTTTAATATGATTTGGGCTTGAGTTTACCACTTCTGCTTTAGGCAGCCCTTTTAAGACTATGAGTGTTGAGAAGGTACCAAACTGCATCGATAAGGGGGAGTTTCCTCACTTGAGAATTTTCCTGTAACCACTGAAATCACAGATGTATTTCTCTAAATATTTGTATCCACATGTATATCTCAAACTTATTTGGTTGTATTCTATTACTGCATTCACAGCCCTTTTTTGAAGAGCCAGCAAATAATTTAGATTTTTTGATATGCTAGGCTGTGTATATCTTAATGCTTTTTATTGAGGTGCAAGGATCCTTTGTAATTGTATGGACTTAGGTTGCTACTTTATGCATTTATGATAGTGATTATGACAGCATGAAAAGTTTAGCAGTGTGAATTTTCCTGTCTTCCTAGTGACATTAAAAAGGCCCGTTTACTTCTAAAATCTGTGAGGGAGACAAATCCCCATCATCCTCCGGCATGGATTGCTTCAGCCCGCTTGGAAGAAGTCACTGGAAAACTACAAGTAGCTAGAAACCTCATTATGAAAGGGACAGAAATGTGTCCCAAGGTAAGACATTTGGGGGCACCTTTTCCCCCCTCTTATTTAATAATTGTAAATTTCTTGAAAATAGTGACTTACCTTCAGTGAAATTCGTGTTTCTAAGAATCTGTGTTATGTTCTAGCATCTGAGGGGAGAGAGATACTTAAATTAGGACAATGACCTTTAGATATCAAAAGCCATCTCAAAAAGGCAAGAGCAGAAAAGGTTTTTCCATCTTGCCCATGTGGACTGAAGATTGAATTGCCATTGTGGCTTTTATTTCCTTTTCATCTTAGTAGATAGTAAAAGATTTACTGTTGGATCTAGTGACCTTAAAAATAATTTAACACTAGTAACTAGGAAAAAAGTAACCCCACTGCCCAGTTCTCCCATTTTGCCTTATATAAAAATAATTATATGCAATAGTCCAGCATCTTAAGAAAATGTTGCCTGCGCATTTTCTGGAACGGATTAAGAGGCAGAAACAGAACACTGAAAACCTTTATTGTGATTTTTTTTTTTTAACACTAAAACCCCATTATTATGGTGTCTTCTTATTCAGTGGATTCAGTGAAGGTCAAATGGTGTCCCCAGGTTCACAGCATTATATAGACCAATGATTTTTAAAGTTTTTTGTTTGCATTCACCATCCCTATGTATCTGTAGATTTGGAAATTATATATGTGCGCTAATATACTAGTAGTTATGTCCATCATAAGATTTATACACAAATAGAAATTTAAGAAGGATGAGATACAGATGGTTAGGTAAGCGTTTAAGTCATTATTACGTGCCAGGCATTGTGCTAAGAGCTGGGGATATAATTGTAAGCAAGTAAGAGTCCCTGCCTTGAAGGAGCTTATTTTTTAATGGGGAAAGAAAACACATAAAATGGTGTCGGAAAGTTGGCTGGGTTGGGCTGAGGCTGGTGGGGAATGTTATAGGAGGGATAAGAGAGGAGGGTACTCACAGCATGGTGAGGAGATTGCTAAGAAATGGCCTGGAGGCTTGGGCCCTTGCAAGCTATGATAAAATTATATTTGATTCTAGAGGTTTTGAAACATCACAAGACTATTAAGTAAGTAGGGGAGTGACATAGACAGACCAGTGCTTTAGAAAAATCACTTTGGCAGCTGTGTGGAGGATGGATTGGAGTGGGTAGAGATTTGAGGCAGGGAGACCAAATAGAAGACTATTACAGGAGTCTTCATGAGAGGTGATGAGGGCCTGAACTAGGAAGCTGTCTTTGTGAGTGGTGAAAAAGAGACATGGGAAAGATGTGGAGATAGAACCAATAAGATCTGGCACCGATTAATTGGCTATGTGGACGTGGAGTGAGAGTGAAGTCACAGATAACAATGAGGTTGTAAAAGCCTGGGTGATTGGAAGAATGTAACAGCCGTTGGGGGAGAAGTATGGAAGAGGAGTAGATTGGAGTAATGAGATCTGTGAATCAGATCACAAATCTGTCTGTGCTTGCTCAGCAGTATGACTCACATTTTCCATTCCAAAATGAAAAGGGGGTTGGCCAACCTCTTACCAGACATTACTCCCAAGTACAGAGCTCACAGCCACAGGATGATCTGGGGGCCAGGAATAGAGGTGGAATTTTACCAATGGCATCTGTGCAGCTGCACTGGGTTGCCTTTAGTTTAGGCTTTAACTGCCCTTAAGGTTCAACACCAGGCTCCAAAGTGGGGGAGGCTGCAAACTTGCACTGAACTAGGGGGAGGTATGTGTGTTGGAGACAAACCCCACAATTGGCTATTTGCAGCAAGGGTGGAATTTGACCTCGCTTTTCAACTCATGATTGGTTGCTTGCCCACCCTGAGGGTTAGGCCATGGCCTCTTAGGGAATCCTAGCCCTTATTTTGGAGACCATTATTAGAGGGTACCTTCATCACTGTAACACAAAAAGTTAACGTGATGATTAGCCATATTCCAAAATACTGGCAAAGATCTTTTGTGCATAAACAGTATGAAATTTGCACAATTGAATTTCTCTTAGAAGATTGTGATCTTAAGAGAAGATAAACCTCAGAACCTTCCTGTTTTAACAGTCATTACTGCTGAGAAGCCACTTGGACTTTCTTAACTATTTTCAGGTACCACAGATACTATTTACTCCTATTGTCTTTGCTACACAGAGTGAAGATGTATGGCTGGAAGCAGCCCGTCTACAGCCTGGTGATACGGCCAAGGCCGTGGTTGCCCAGGCTGTTCGTCATCTTCCACAGTCTGTCCGGATTTATATCAGAGCAGCAGAGCTAGAAACAGACATCCGAGCAAAGAAGCGTGTTCTTAGGAAAGGTGAGGCCTTCTTTGAACAGTTAGTCTCTTGTTCAAGGACGATTACTGTCCTTTGAAGAGTAAACTTTGGAGTCATTAAAGGTAATTGTATTATTTGGATCTTGGCATTTTTCTTCTTTCTGATTATTTTAGTCCTTACTCTTTTTTTTTTATTAATTTATTTTTAGTTTTCAACATTCACTTCCTTAAGCTTTTGAGTTTTAAATTGTCTCCCCCTCCACCAGAGGGTGTGCAATCTGATATAGGCTCTACATATACATTCCTATTAAACATATTTTCACATTAGTGATGTTGTAAAGAAGAATTAGAACCAACAGAAGGAACCACCAGAAAGAGGAAACAAAACAGAAGGAAAAAAAAGAGCAAATAGTATGCTTTGATCTGCATTCAAACTCTACAGTTCATTCTTTGGATGTGGATACCATTTTCCAGCAGGAGTTTAGTCTTTACTCTTAGTAAATAGCTCATCACTGCTAGATTTTCCATTTAGTGAGGAACTATTTGGCCGTGGCAATCTGTGAAACAAGAAAAAAAGATACAAAATAGCCCTTAGTCTTGTACTCCCCCTTTCTCCTGCAGTAACAAGTGTCAGAGTAGATGAAAAGGGGGCGGAAGGTATTGCTACTTTGCATATGAAATTTTTGTTCAGTGGCTAATGGATGAACACATACCAAGTGGAATAATTGCGTCATATCAATCTTGACATGATGCCACAAGACAAAAGGAAGTTGCAACTAAATGGAAAGGGGATCAACAGGATCCTCTTTGGAGAAACAAAGGAATTGACAGAGTTTATCTTATTGTGTATCCAGAGACAAATGTCATGAGACATTTGGTCATCTTCTGTTTAGTAATGATTATGATAAGTATTTGCAGAGATATTATCAGGAAAATAATATTGCTTATGTGCAAAAGCTGCTTTAGAGGACTATGAAGTAGAGAAATTCTTTGAAGAACTTGATAACCAAACACATAGAAAAAATATCAGAGGTTGTCAGTATCATAAAAAGACTATTGGGAGAACAATAACCATTTGACCCCATTCCCATTTTCCCAGCTGTATGAAAATTTTACAAAAATAACCTTGTATGCCTACACATTGAGAGCATTCTTGATGAGGATATTAGAAGGGGACAGATTGACTTACACACAGAAATATTCCATAGTAGACCACACCTTACTATCATAAGATTGACCAAAGATGTGGAGAATACAAGAAACCGCTGTGCTTGTTGTTTGTTGACCATAAAAAAGCATTTGATTCAGTACCGCAAAATGCATCTTGCAACAAGGTATCTCACATACTTCCATCAGAGGTATACAAGATCACTCCAGAGAGGTATGTGTTGGGTGTGACCAAGTTGCAGTATATTACAAATTGGCAATTGTGATGGAGAAATAGTTTAAAGGATGTCATTAAAGAAATATATGAGTGAAAAAGAAGGGTAGCTGGTCATGGATAATCTGTATCCTCCATTAGTATCTTTGTTATGTCAAGAGAATTTGAGGAAAGTCTCCCTTGATAAGGTATATTGTAGTACTAGAGTTCTCATAAAAGTTTTCGTCTATTTCTTATTTTTCACCACCTGGCTGTCAGTTTCATATACTGCTATTTATCCATTTCATGCCAAAGTGCAATGAAAAACTGATATCCAGTGGTGTTCATCTGTGGCTATTTAAAATCACCTCATTGTGGTTTCTGATAATTTTATGACCTATTCTGATTGCCAGAAGAAATCTGTATCTCGTGTGATCTCTGGTCTCCTAAGTTTTTAATGGCATCGTGCTTGTTTTTGTGTGTCTTCCTTTGCTGAAGTCTGGTTTCATTACTGTAATCTCACTTACTCATCGGAGGATTCTGAGCCAGCATCTCTTTATAGTGAGGCCACAATCAGAAGACTAGCATCTGTCTTGGGTTATAGAAATGGACTGCTTATCTTTGCAACCAGGAAAACAGTTTTCTGATGAATAACACATCATGCTATTAGCAATTAGCATTATTCATTCAGAAAAGCTCTACTGATTCTGCTGCATTGAATGTGATGAAGGGCAATTAATGTGTGTGTGGATACTTTACTATTCACTGGAGAACTAAAGCAGCAAATTTTCTGAATACATTTTTGATTGGTTTTACATATGTAGGGTGGCAGAGTATCTTTGGGGCATTGTTAGCATAATTATATTTCAAGGTCATCAGAAGGCATGTCTTGAATAGTTGTTTGTTAGCTTGGGATGCTCTCAACTGTGCAACAAAAACAAGTCTGTTGACAGCATGTTTTCTCTAAGGAAGAGAGAGTGCTTGGACAACATTAAGTTGAAAACCCCTTGGTGAAATTGAAAGAATATTGAGTTACCAAAATGACACTTAGATTTCAACTGCTTGGATCTTAATGTTAGTATCGGCTTAACACATACCTTTTTTTTTTCTTTTTAGCGTTTCTGAAACTAGCATTCTTCTGACTTTTTTTTTTGAGGTGACTCAATGATAAATTGCTTTTGAGAAAGCTAGGTTATTATCCATTAAGCTGTCAGCAAATGCTTAAAATAAAGTTGGATTTTGGGGATCTGACTTAGAAAATTGAAGTAGTGGCTACTATTCATAAGAATCTGTAGATGTATGCAAATGTTAAACTGTATCAGTTGAGATTAATATATCTGTTCTATATGTGACATGACTTCTTTGTGATGCTGATTCAGTTCAGCAAACATTTAAGCACCTTCCACATGCATGATACTGTTCTAAGTACTTTGAGACAATGACAAAAATGAAATATTCCCAGTCTTTAAGGCACTTACATTCTCTTGGGTAGAAGCAACATGTACATAAAAGATTTTCTTTTTTAAGATGAACTTAACAAACATGAACATTTAAATATATGACAAAGAATTGAAAAGAGAAATTGTGAACTTACGTTTTTCTGGAGGTGTATTTTAAGTTTTTACAAGGTAATAATAAAACTGTCTTGCTTATCTGTGTCCCTTTCTGAATTTCTGCTCTTTTGTATTTTTAAATGTTTCACTGATGCTCTTACTCTTTTTTTGGTGTCACTATTGCTATCTATCCACTGCCCCAACCCTATATAGACACCCTTTGCTGTAACAAATAAGGTTAAGTCATGCAAAACGTATCAACATGTTCATGTATGAATATGTGTCTTTAGTCTTTAAGGTGCTTACATTCTTTTGGGTAGATGCAACATGTACACAAAAGATTTTCTTTTTTAAGATGAACTTAATAAGTATGAACATATAAATATATGATGAAGACCTTTATTCTTATCACCTCTCATGCAATGAACTTTTCAGGAGGGAGAGAGCATTAATGATGGGTGGGATCAGGAAAGGCCTTATGTATGAGGTAGCATCTGAGCCTTGCTTTGAAGGAAGTTAGGTTATATACTAAGTGGAGGTAAGGAGGGAGGACATTCTAGACTTGAAGGACCACCTTTGCAATGACACAAGGGTGGGAAGTGGAACGTTGTGTACAGGATAACAGCTGGGAGGCCACTTTGAAGTGGAAAGTTAGCAAAGGGGAATACTACCAAAAATAACTAGAAAGATAGATGGGAGTCGGATCATGGAGGGATTTAAAAGCCAAGCATAGGATTTTGTATTTTATCGTAGAGGCAATAAGGACTGTTGAAGATTTTTGAGGGAAGTAAGATGAGCTATATTTTAGGCATTTCAGTTTGACCGTTTTATGGAGGGTGGATTGGAAAGGGGAGAGACTTGAGAGAGGAAATCAGTTAGGAGCCTATTGCAGTAGTTTCAGTGGGAAGTAATGAGGACCTGAGTGAGGGCTGGGGCTCTGAGAGAAGAGAAGAGAAGAGAAGAGAAGAGAAGGCAGATGGGAGAGATGTTGTGGAAGTAGAGTTAAAAAGATTTGGCTCTTGATTGGAGGTGTGGAGGAAAGAGAGAAGAGTCAAGGATGACTCCAAGGCTCAGGATCTATGATGGCTTATGGTCTCCTCCGGAACAGGCCGTCTGCTGTCTTAGGAGACTAGAGGCCAGTGCCTGAGCTGGCTTACGATTCTTTCAATAAATGTGTGCTTTGTGTCATATGCATAGAAGTAGCAAAGGCACAGAGGGGGATGCAAAGAACTTTATCCCTGAGCCTTACCTGAATCATATTTTCCAGACCATTATGGTATTATGTTTTGCCTTACTACCTTAATCTTGGTTGCCATGTTATTTTGGGTCTTAGATTATAGGTATGGATATATTAATAATAGCTTATATTGACATAATATTTTAAAATTTACAGAGTGATTTGCATATATTATTTCATTTGATCCTATCCTATGAGGTAGGCATCATTATATTCATTACCATTTTGCATATGAGGAAACTGGATTCATATAACTAGTGTTTGAGGTGGAATTTGAACCCAGGTCTTCCTGACTCTAAAGCCAGCACTTTGTCCATAAGCTGTATTGCCTCTAATTGAATAGGAAAGATTAAAAAGCTTTGTGCACTTCATGAAAGCTTATTGAATTGTAAGGCTGTATTTGGGTTCTAGTCTCCTGACTAGTATTATTTTTCACTAAATTTGGGTTGTGCCACTAACTAACTATATTGCTCTGTGAACATTACTTCCTTTCTCCAGACCTCTTTTTTTTCCTCCTTCTCTATAAAATGAAGGATTGGGGCTATATGGTCTCTAAGCTCCTTCCTAGCTTTGAGTCTACCAGTAACTTACTTCATCATTTACTAGGGTCATAAGTTCCTTAAATATTCCCAAAATAGATGCTTGTCAGATAGAGGGGTATAGCAGTGGTGATCTGTTTCACTGTTAAAAAATCTGTCACACACCTTCTTCAGAACAAATGTGTTCAGTGGGATGATATGCTTTGCTGTAGCAAGTATGTAAATGACATCTTCAGCAGTGAGCAGGCAGTGGTGTTTGATTTATGCCAAATGGTCTCTAGCTTTGTTATTTAAAATATATATTAAAATTAAAATAGACTCTGTATGTCCTTGATTGATTTGAGCAAGGTTGAAAACTGATGAAGATGCCTGTGAGATCTTCAACAAATTCAGATGGTGAATTTGGTTCTTTGTGCTCCAAAGTAATTTCAGTTGAAACTACTTGAATAAGAATGTATTAATGCACAGATTATATATATTCACACAGCTTTGACAGGTATAGAATTTCTGATTTTTTTTCTAGCGTGTCATTTGGTTTCACTTAAAAAAAAATCCCCCCACCAAAACAAACCCAAAAGAGAAGAGGGCCTCTTCTCTTCCTTTGTGGATGGCTGGTTTCTGATATTTTAAATGGGTAAATGGGTAACCTTGTTATTTGACTGTGGTCCTGGAGGAGGTGCTACTTTATCATATTGTCAGTAGCATTTATAGTTCACATAAATCTCTTTGTACCTCTTTTTTCCATGATTCAGTTTCTCATCTTATCTCTCCTAGCTCTTGAACATGTTCCAAACTCTGTTCGCTTGTGGAAGGCAGCTGTGGAGTTGGAAGAGCCAGAAGATGCTAGAATAATGCTAAGCCGAGCTGTGGAATGCTGCCCCACTAGTGTGGAGGTAAGTCATTGAAGTTATTTTTAGGTAACTACTTCAGTTTTGAACTGTGCATCAGACATAGGTTGGAAATTTGGAATCTTGGAAATAAGTTCTGCACTGAGCCTTTATTAGGTTTATTATGTTCATTGTATCTGGGTAGTGTGCCAATGTGAAGTTTTTTGCTTACCTAATAAGCAGAAATGATCACTTTGTATTTTCTGACCCAAGTGGACACTCCCTTTAAACTGCACTTCAGTTTATGTACAGTATTTTGTTTGTGCCTATAGGGCTAATAGTAGGGAGGAGAAAAGTGGCAAGATAAAAGTAATAAGATATGTCTGCCACAGAGTCATTTGTGTTCTAAAAGCCATCAAGTCTCTAGGTTTTTAAAGCTTTTTCCCCTTTCATTGTTTAATGCAGTGATTCTTAATCTTATGGAGGTTGAGGCTGGCATGTCTTTGAGCTTGATCATTTTGAGCTGTATTGGGGTATTGCTGATGAAGTATCACTAAGTTTAGCATTGATATGGTTAGACCAGGAGAACAGGGGTAATCTGGGGAGGAGAGGAAAAAGGGAGGAACCAGGAAGGGTCAACCAGCCTAAGTCAGAAATGGAGCAGGTTTAAGCTCTTGTGCCAGTCTGTAGTGGAATCAGGTCCATGAGTAGGCACGGCATTTTTAGCCTTGGTGAGATATAGAGACCCTGGCTTTTTTTTTATTTTTAAGGAATGGATTTAATAACAACATCACAGAATCATTGACTTGATTTAGTCTAGTTATTGGAAAAATTGACCTGGAATTCTATTTGAGTTTTTAAAATGCTAACTGAAAAACTCACGAATAAGTTAGTAGTTACTTAAGAAAAGTTTAATTTAGTGAGAATTGTTGCTATAAGAAAAATCAATTTATTTTTAAAATCAAGAGGTTGGTTGAGTTTTCATATACAACTAGTTCTGTTTAAAGAGAATTTTGCCTCAGTGGTAGTAGCATTCCCCAAGTCCTTTTTGGTGGCACATATTCAGGTTTATTCGCCATCTACGTTGATGCTGCTGCCTTGAGCACTTTCTCCTGTGGTATAGTAATCTGTTTAATCATCTGGGGTGTCTTCCTATACAGCTTTGGCTTGCTTTGGCAAGGCTGGAGACCTATGAGAATGCCCGAAAGGTCTTAAACAAAGCACGTGAGAACATTCCCACAGATCGGCACATCTGGATTACTGCAGCGAAACTAGAGGAAGCCAATGGAAATACTCAGATGGTGGAGAAAATCATTGACAGAGCCATCACATCACTTAGAGCAAATGGTGTAGAAATCAACAGAGAGCAATGGATCCAGGTGGTGACCCATGTCTGCCTTGTCTTAAATGACTATAATATAGAATCAAATACTTTAAAATGTTTTAAAATTTAAATATTTTAAATGTTTTTAAAACTATAATAAGTATTGGGAACATCAATATTGGGGAAAAACAACCAGCACATTTAAATGAGAGGAATCTTGCATAAGATGAGTAATTAGCATTTGTATACTTTTAGCAGCAATGAAGCACAATTGCATAGGCGTAAATATACCAGATATAATTATATGTTTGCCATATGCTGTAACACCTAGCTTTTCATTCTTTCACAATAACCACTTTGCTCAAACTTTTTGAGTACAGATTTCTGAAGAATTTATATTGTATGTTTTTATGAGACTGGTTACAGTTTGCCAGTGGAGATGAAAAAATGGCATCTGTGATTAAGAGGTGGATGATTCTAGGAAAAAATGTGTCACAATGCAGAAGCTCCTGCATTGGAAAAGTTTCTGTCATCCTTAGGAGAATCTTTGCCCTGCAGAGAACACTTTGCTCAAAGTTAGGCTCTGCAGTATTTACACTTAACATTATATGTCTGTATTTAGGATGCTGAAGAGTGTGATAAAGCTGGGAGTGTGGCCACCTGCCAGGCTGTTATGCGTGCAGTCATTGGAATTGGGATTGAGGAAGAAGATAGAAAACATACCTGGATGGAGGATGCAGATAGTGTGAGTCTGGTATATATATATTTCCATGTGTATGTGACAATTCACTTCATAAATTTTATTTATTAAATACTCATTATATGCTAAGTATTAGAATACATAAACAGAAATGAAACAGTCCCAGCCCTCTGGCTATTCCAGCCGTCTTACATTCTAACTGGGGAAAATGATATGAATACAAATAGTTAAGTGCAAAGCATATACAAAGCTAGGGACTATTAAAAATTGGAGGTGATCAGAAAAGGTCTTGGCTAGGAGGTAACACTTGAACAGAGCCTTGCAGGAAGGTAGATAGGCTAGTCACACATTATCTGACCAGTTTTCACCCCTTCTCTCCATTCTTTTATTTTTTTTTTTTTTAAATGTGAGGCAGTTGGGGTTAAATGACTTGCCCAGAGTCACACAGCTAGTGAGTGTTATGTGTTTGAGGCCACATTTGAACTCAGGTCCCATGCTCTATCTACTACGCCACTTAGCTGTCCCTTCCCCATTATTTCTGAAGGCATATTTAGCAAACTTAAATCTACATTGCTATGAATTCATGGAGTAAATTGACTCTATGGGTGTTGAACTACTGACATGACTGCAATGGCTATAGCTGAGGAAGAAAAGATTAATTATAGTCCCATTTTATAGTAAGATAACCTTGTCATTTGATAACATACATGAAATTTATTGGTATACATATATTTTCTCCCCTATATTGTACGTTCCTTGAGGGTATTTAAGTCTTATTTATCTTTGTATTTTCCTTTTCTGTTGAATATAGATGCTCAGTAAATGTTTTTGAATTAACAGATGACAATATTTAATAAATTAACTATCCATAGCGAATAAGAAGACATGCTATTTAGAAGCAACTTTGTAATTGAATCACAAGTAGCTCAGTATCAAATGAGCAGTAATTGTCTCCTCACTGAAATAGAGAGCAAGTAATCGTATCCTTAAAGACTTCACCAAATTTGTGTTTTCTTCCCTAACTGTTCAGAGCCATATTTTTTTTTCTCTGAACTTAGAGCCAATCCTCTCTGTTTAGCTATTCACCTTATTTTTACTTATTTAATAGCAGTCTGTTTAGATGTGACTAACATATGATGGGGATGTTTATGCTATTTCAGATTGTTCCTCTAAACAACTTTGTCTTTCACACATAACTCATTAATATACCTATTTTCTAAGCAACTCTTATCAGAAAGAATAAAACCTAAAGCCTTTTCTGTGCTGAAGGGTAGAGTGTTCTTTGTGCTGCTTTCCACAGTACCAAGGACTGACTCTGTTCACCTCTTGGGCAAAATCATACTAAGCAATGATTGAGAAACTTAACTTTTCACTGTTATTTTCTCTGCGTGGAAATGATTACATTTTCTTTCTCTGCATTCTTTTCAATTTATCAGACTTTCATTAAGTGTCTCCTCTGTGCAAGGCCCCAGACGAGACTCTGGTGATAGCAGCATAAAAGATGATGTCCTCCTCAAGAAATTTACAATTCAGTTGGAAGAAAGAGGCAATACAACTATGATAGAGATTACAATACAAACTTAGTGTATAGGAGATGTCAGATGGAGTAACATGAATGGTTCAAAGAGGGAAGGATCACTTATAGTTGAAACTGTTAGGGAAAGTTTTATGCAAAACGTGCCGCCAGATTTGGGCCTTGAAGAAACAGAAAGATTTCAGTAGGCAGATTTGAATTAGGAGTTTGGGGTGGATAGTCAGTTCCATGTATAGGAGACAAGCTTGTGTGAAGGTGGGAGTAAAGAGTTCAAGATTTAGGAACAATGGATTGTCTAGATTGTTTAGTATTGTGTCCTTTTTCATCCTGATGTCTCTGCCTAACTGGGTCCTAGAAGTTTTGTGGTAGGTGTGACGTTGCTGCTTTCTAGGCTGGTCAAAGATACATAGTCTGGTTATCTTACTCACAAAGGAATCAGTCTGCAGTAAGAATCCCTCTTGTCATTTCGGTTGCTATTCTAAAATTTTTTCCATAATTGACGCTATACTTATTATTTTGAGGATTGGTGATAATTGATAACTCTCCAGGAAGATGATTAGAAACTTGGACAGTGGCTTTTAGACTGGTTTGTGTAGACTTCAAGTTTAGTCACTCCTCCATCGTTTTGTCTGAATTGTACTTCACAAGTAATATTTCTTTTGCCTGTCTTGTGCATGACTCTTTCCTTGGTACACAATTGTGTTAGCTTTTTGTGACAAGGGCAATTTATGCCTTTTAGAATCTGGCGTTTAGCTTCAACACTGATCATTTCTATCACTGTAGTCTCCTATCATTCTACTTCTCCTTTTTCTTTACCTCTTCTAAATCTGTTCTGTCTTCATTAAGACCTCTTAAGTTCCTCTGTGCCTCAGTACTTTCCCAATCTACTCTGACCTAACTTTCTTCTCTCCTTGACCTCAACCCAATAGTTAGCCATTTCATCACTATCTTGCCCTTGGCTCTTGAATTCCTGACCCCCTTAACCTAGTGCTACTTTTCTCTTGCCAAACCTCAGCCCTGGATTGTGCCCAACTTTCACTTCTGCTCCTATTCATGAGCCACTGAACATAGTTGGAGAAAGTTTCACAACTACTGAATGGGTTCATTACAAATTTATGTTATCTAACCTCAACTGGGCCCTCACTGCAGTAAGGCAGTCCTTTTATTTCTCCCTAATGGATTTCCTGTCTGCTGAAGCTATTCCAAACCTTCACTTCCCTCCCAAACCTCCCCCTCCCCTATCTCTCTCAGCTGAGAATATTGCCTCTTATTTTGCTGAGAAAATTGAGACCATTTGATAAAGTGACCATTTGATAGTTTTCTTTTCTCCCATTCTTTTCATCTCAAAGCCCCTTAGTAGTTTATCATCTCTCTTTCTATTTTCCTTTCTCAGTCTCTGACAAAGATACCCCTTCTCCTAGCCAGTGTACCCTTCCCTGCCATGTGTGCTGGATCCTATTCCTTTCTGTCTTCTCCAGCACCATGCATCCTTGGTCATCTTCCTTCATCCTTCTCCCCGTTGAGGGGATCCCCCCATCTTCAGTTTCTCCTTATTAACTGGTTCCTTCCCTGCTGCCTCAGAAATACCCAAGACCTCCCATCCTTAAAAAACCTTCTCCAGACCGTACCATTCCCTCATCTCTCATATATTATCTCTATATTTCTCCTCCTTTTCTCAGCTGAAATCATGAAAAAGCCATCTATACTTGCTGTTTCCACTTTGTTCTCTCTCACTTTGCTCTAAACCCTGTTCAGTCTAGTTTCAGAACCTATCACTTATCTGAGATTGTTCTTTTCAAAATACCCATTGGTCTCTTAATTGCCAAATTTGATGATCTTTTTTTTTTTTTTTTTAAAGTCCTAAGACCAGTAAGTGGTGCAGTGGATTGAGCATTGGATTTGGAGTCAGGGAGACCTGGGTTCCATTTTTGCCTTAGATACTTACTAGGCAAATCACTCATCTCTCTAAGCCTCAATTTCCTCACTGTAAGATGAGGAAATTATAGCACTCACCTAACAGGGTTGTTGTGAGAATCAAATGAGATAAAATTTGTAAAGCACATTGCAAAAGTGCTAAATACATGCTACCTGTTACTGTTATTCTCCAACTGTCTATTCCATTTTATGACTTTTAACCACCCTCTCCTCCTGGATCCTCTCTATGTTCTGGGCTTTTTTGAACACTTTCCTATTCTGGCTCACCTCTTACCTGTCTGTGTGCTTTTTCTCAGTCTATTTTGCTGGCTTATCATTCATATCATGACCACTCCTAACTATAATTGTTTTCCAAGGTTCTTATATTAGGCCCTTTTCTTTTCTCCCTCTGTACTCTTTGTTTGGGTAATTTCTCTTAGTAAATGCCTTCTCAAGGCATTTAACTATTTCTGTGCAGATGACTTCAAGATTGATATATCCAGCATCAATCTCTCCTGAGTTTCAGTTCCACATCCTCAGTTGCTTATTGAACATTTCAAACCAAATGTCCTAGAGGCCTCTTTAGTGCAATATATCCAAAACTTATTTCATCATCTTTTCCCCTATCTTCTCTCCTCTTCCAAATTTTCTATTGCCAGATCTTCTTTCCACTCACACAGTTACCACCAGTTCAGACTCTCATCACCTCATCTCTGCCTCAGGTCTTTCCCTACATGCTACTGTCTTTCCTACACGCTGTTGCCAAAGTAATTTTCTTGTAAACACCTATCTGATTTTGTAACTTTACTACTCAATCAACTCTAATGGCTTCCTGTTATAGGATAAAATATAAACTCTTCTGTTTAACTTTTAAATCCTTATACAACCTAGGCTTAACCTTTCGTCGAATACTGTCCCCTCTCCCACATTCTGAGGTCTAGCCAAACTAGCTATCTCTCTGATTCTCATAGTGTTCCATCTTCCAAATTTATGTATTTGCATTGGTCATCTCACATACCTGGAATGTATGTACTCCTTCCTTACTGCCACTTCATAGTGTCTCTCACTTTAAGCATCGTCTTCTATATAATGCTTTCCTTATTTCCCAACCTTTTGTGCCACCCCTCCCAAAACTACTCTGTATTTTTTCACTTTATATTTGCCCTAAACAGGGTGCCCCAAAAGTCTTAGTACAGGTGTAAGATTTACTAAGAAGGGAGGAATCAAATATTTAGTAAGATTTATTATATGTCAGGTACTGCAATTAGTACTTCACAAATACTATCTCCTTTGATCCTCACAGCAACCCTGGGAGGTAAATACTATTATCATCCCCATTTTATAGTTGAGGAAACTGGGACAGACGAGTTAAATGTCATACAGGTAATAAATGTGTATGGCTTGAATTGAACTCAGGTCTTCTTGACTCCAGGTCCAGAAGTCTTTCCACTGTGGCACTTAGCTACCTTCATAGATGAATGCTATTAAAACTTAAAATTGCACTAAAACTTTTGGGATACCCTGTATACTTTTTAAGATTTGTATGATCTTTCCCATTAGACTCTCACTTCCTTTTGAGTTTTTGTTTAATTCTTTGTATTTGTATCTCCAGCACCTGTTACAGTGTTTGGCATATAGTAGGCACTTAATAAATATTTATCAGTTGATTGCTTAATAATATTTTTTTTAATTGAAATCAGTCATTAAGTACCTACAATGTGTCAGTTACTGTGCTAGGCACCAGAGAAAAGTGAAACAGTATTATAAGATTAAAATATACATAATAATTACAACATTATAATATATTATAAACAACAATATATCCCTTCTGTGAGGGGAAGGGATACACGGAAAAATATAGATGATTTAAAAAACAAAACAAATCAATAAAAATTTACTTTAAAAAATAAACCCCCTACTCAATCAAGGTGCTTATAATCTAGCTGAGGGATATAACATGTACATGTGCGCATGGGCATGCCTGTGTGTGTGTGTGTAAAATAATAGATATGAGGTCTTTTTGGTAGGATGGCATTAGCAGCTGGGAGGATCAGGAAAGGCTTCATATAGAAGGTGATATTTGAGCCATGTTGAAGGAATCTAGGAATTCTTTTTTTTTTAATAAAGATATTTGTTTTATTTGATAGCATTGGATTTTTATGCCACAAGGACACAGGCTCCACCAACACCCTTGATTTTTTCTCTGCTTTTTTGCTGAAGAACTTTGCCTTCACAATGACTGGCTTCTTGGGGAGTTTCCCTTTTCCTAGGACTTTGTAGTACCCCAACCGCACAACGTCAATGATAGGGGCAAGCCCCTCCTTGTTTTTTGCAGCATTAATCCTGGTCTGCTCACTGACCAGTGTCCACAGCTTATCAAGGTTGACAGTTGGGCAGTAGCTTTGGTTCTTCTTGAAGTGGTAATGCCTCATACCCACTTTTCCAAAGTAATCTGGATGATTTTTGTCGAAGTTGATCCGGTGATGGTGCAGCCCTCCTGCATTGCTGCGGCCTCCAGGGTGCTTCCGGTGCTTGCCGATGCGCCCGTGGCCATGGCTGACGTGCCCGTGGAGCTTCCGCATCTTCCTTAGTCGGGAAGGCATGTCGCAGGCCGCCGCAAAAGAGAAAAAGAGGAATCTAGGAATTCTAAAGAGGTGGAAGTGAGGAATGAATGAATTGCAGGCGTGGATCGCTGATGCAGAGGCATAGAGTTGGGAGATGGAGTGTTGTGTGTGAGGAATAGAAAGAAAGCCACTTGTACTGGACCATAGTGTATGTGAAGGGGAGTACTGTGTAAAAAAGCTAGAGAGGTCGATTGGGATCAGGTTGTGAAGAACTTTAAATACCTACAATCAGAGGAGTTTAAATTTGATCTCTGGGGCAGCTAGGTGATGTAGTGGATAGAGCTCTGGCCTTGGAGTCAGGAGGACCTGAGTTCAAATATGACTGCAGACACTTGACACTTACTAGCTATGTGACCCTGGGCAAGTCACTTAACCCGATTGCCTCACCCCCCAAAAAATAGATCTCAAAGGCAATAGGGAGTCACTGGAGTTTATTGAGTAGGGGAGTGACATGGTCAGATTTATACTTTAAGAGAATCATTTTGGCAACCTTGTGAAGGATGGACTGGAGTGGAGAGAAACTTTTGCCAGGGAGATGAATTAAGAACTATGGTAGTAGTCCAGGTGAGAGGTAATGAGTGTCTGAACTAGGGTAGTGGTTGTGTGAATGGAGGACAGATTTAAGAGATGTGTTAGAGATAGAAATAAGATTTGGCAACTGATTGGATTTGGTTATGTGTGGTGAGTGAGGATGAGGAGTCAAGAGTAACTGGAAGAATGGTGGTGTCCTAAATAGAAACACAGAAATTTGGGAGAAGGGTGGATTTTGAGAAAATTATGATGAATTTGTTTTAGATACATATGGGACATCCAGTTTGAATGTCCAGTAGACATTGGTAATACACAAGTGGAACTCAGGAGAAAGACTAGAGTTGGATATATAGATTTGGAAGTCATTTATATAGAGATGATAATTAAGTCATTGAGGAGAGAGAGAGAACACCTGTAGCAGATAATTAATGTTTTGTATTCTACTTAAAATTGTTAGCAAGCAGCAGCACTAACCAGAAACAGAAAACTCCTTATGTTTCTTGTTTGTTTTTCAATTTCTTATATGGCATTTCCTCTGGCTTGGATTATAACATTTAATTTTTGATCAACTAATATTATTATGCAATTGCTAGTAAACATCATTACGAGGGAATCACAAATGTACAGGGATGAATCATTCCATCTGTTCCCATTGGAGAATACTCTGGTGTCTATTTTTATCTATTTTTCCCTTCTGTGTAGTGTGTTGCCCACAATGCATTGGAGTGTGCCCGAGCTATTTATGCCTATGCCTTGCAAGTTTTCCCTAGCAAGAAGAGTGTGTGGTTGCGAGCTGCTTACTTTGAGAAGAACCATGGGACAAGGTATGTTGTGAGATGGTCAGTACCTTTCAGTTGGGAGTAAATCCATAAGAACAGTTTTAACTTCTGATTTGAGTAGCAACTGCATTAAATTCTCTTAAGAGTACGTTAGCTCTCTTCTGTATGGTTAAACTCTGATCCTTTGTTTGGAGTGATTTATGGGGGAAGAGGTACTCAGAAGGCAGGTCATGATGAGGATAAAAGTCTTTTATAACACTTTGTTGGCCAGCTACTTTGTAGTCTTGCTTGTTAATCTTTACAATCATAGTGTACAACATTATCATCATTTTTCAGGTGGAGAAATTGAAACACTAAGGGAGAAGTATTACCCACTTATTTGGTGGCAGGTCCAGAGTTAGAATGCACTAACCGCTGAGCTGACTGAGGTTTTTTTTTTAAAATCAGTCACGTATTTAGAATACTTGATGCAGCAGGGACTATGATAAATTGCTTATTAGAATGGATATGAGAGTAAAGGTTCTGAGACATCTTCAGACAGTTGAATTGGGCTTTTAACAGTGTGGGAGGGTGAGTCATTTGGGATTAGGATCATATGCTTTTCATTTAAATTTGGTTAGTTCTGATTTTTGGCTAATGCCAGTACTCTGAGGAGGTCCTGTATAATTTTTAATTGTCTCTTTAATTGAAAAAATATTTGAGGTTTTGTTTATTGGATATAAGCTCTGATTAAATTAAGTGTTGCAATTTCTTAAATGTTTAACTCTTGAGGGTGTTAGCACACAAACACATAGTTTCTTAATGTTTCTTATGTATGATATACATCTGACATTGCTTGAATATGGGTCGACTCTACTGAATTTCTATTTAGGGCCAAGTTGTTTTAGTTGTTAATTTTTTTCTTTTTTTTTTTTAAATTAAAAAAAAATTTTTTTTTTTGATAGAGCAATTGGGGTTAAGTGACTTGCCAAGGGTCATACAGCTAGTAAGTGTTATGTGTCTGGGGCCGGATTTGAACTCAGGTCCTCCTGAATCCAGGGCTGGTGCTCTATCCACTGCGCCACTTAGCTGCCCCTTAATTTTTTTCTTTCAGGGCATTTCTCCATGTAAATCCCTAAAATGTTAACTTTAGTGTGATCAGCTACCACTCTCCAAGGCTATATCTGTGTTTGTAGCTCTTTAATTTCTATTTTACTACAATCCAGAAGCTAAGGAAGTAAAGGAGAAATCTTGAACCGTTCCTTAGGGTTTGGGTAGTGTGTACATAGGACCACACAACTGCAGCCCTAGTGCTTATAGCCTTAGAACGCTTCACAGTGGGTCACTGGACTTTGTGTGCAGTGTATTCACCTTCAGTCCATATAGTTTGGAATGTGAGCCTAGCACTGTAGAATCTCAAGAGCTGGAAGTGAACTAAGAGGTCATTTAGTATAATTCGTACCTGAATAGGAAGCTCCTGTAAAACACCCCCCAGCTGCTGCTTCCAGGGATGGGGAGTCCACTTTTTTTTTTCCTCTAGACCTGTGATTTCATTAGTATAGGGAGCTTCTGGTGAGGATACCCCTTCTCACCTCCCTAACCAACCCTATTCTTCAATTTGTAGTCTTGAGGCAGCTAGGTGGCACAGTTGATTGAGCACTGGACCAATAGTAAGGAAGACTCCAGTTTCTGTGTGATCCTACCTACGCAAAGCACTTAACCTGTCTGTTTCAGTTTCCCCATATGGAAAATGGAGATAATTGGATAAAATATAACAAAATATGTAAAGTGCTTAGCAAACTTCAAAGTACTACATAAATGTTAGCTATTATCATTTTTACTGAGAATGTTTGTCAGAGGGTCAAGGAGCTTTGTTACATGGTAGGGGTTCTATTTGTAGGGAAGGGAGAATCATTTAGAAGTGACAGTGATTTTTTTTTTAAAGCCCCAATAAAATATTTTTTTAAAGATCAGGGAGCCTTGAAATGTCACTATAAGCTCAACCATCTTAAAATAACTCTTCTAAAATAATATGGTGTTTGTCATTTTCTTCTTTTCCTGTCGGAAGAATAAACTCGACTATAATTTTTTTTTTATCACTGGTATCCAGACTGTTTTCAGTGATTCAAGGTGAGAATGCCTGACTTAGCACCATATCCTATGAGAATTATTGCTTCAGTGAGTAGGTCCTTTTCAAGACACAGAAGCTATAAAAGGGGTCTCTCCTGAAGTTGCTTTTATCAGAGTGGTAGTTAAACAATGAGGTGCTTTGTAGAACCTTACTGTGTTGGTTTTAGGATTTTTATGGGCAAAAAGAGTTTCCCGAATCCTCCCCATTGTAAAACTTGATGAATCATTTATAGTTTTGGACTTTGAAACAATAACTATATTTACAACATCAGACGATAGTGGAAGTTAGCATACTCGCTTCCACAAGTTTATGGCCACAAGTCTGAGTAACTACAACTCCCTATCGTCTTGTAGGGAATCCCTTGAAGCCCTCCTGCAGAGAGCAGTGGCCCACTGCCCGAAGGCTGAGGTGCTCTGGCTCATGGGTGCCAAGTCCAAGTGGTTGGCGGGAGATGTGCCTGCCGCGAGAAGCATCTTGGCCTTGGCTTTCCAGGTGGGTATAACTGTCACTAACACAAGCAGGGGAAATGTCAAGGCCTGAGGGAATTTGAACATGAGAATAACAACGTTTCTTAGAGGATGTGCCACCTACTCTTTTCCGAAGACCATTTGATTGCTCAAGGAATGGATTAGTCCTTGCATTGACAGTAGGTCTGAAGCAGGAGGAAGGAGGGAAGGCTTGAATGTATCTGCCTACATTCTTAAACCAAGTAGAAATGATTTTTGGATGCTTTGTTCTCAATATCTTATCTCCCCTCCATTAATGAAAATAATCAAGAGATTAGGGATAGGCTAAAAATTAGAAAATGACATGTTATACATATAATTTGAAAGGATTTCATAGTTTTGGGTGCTAACTTAGCAGACAGGGCAAAAGACAAGGTCTGCTTCATCCGAGTACATAGCTATGTATTGGTTTATCAGGACTGGTGCCTTCTGAGTCTTTCAATCTCTTAGTTAAACAGAGTCATATTTGGCTTCTGTTGCTTGGTTCAAAATTTGTTTTCAAAAATGGGAAATTTGTTGCAACTGGTGGCACCTTAGACTTCAAGTCATCTTACCTCAAGCTTACTCTATTTAATGTGGACCTCAGTGTAAATATTCTACAACTTTATGGACAGACATCTTTATGAGAGAAGTCAAAGAAATTCCAGTTCCACTGCTGAAATATATAGCAACTTCTAGAACTACACTTCCTCCATGTAAATTGAAGACAGTGCAGACCAATTTGAGAAAGTGGCCATGAAAATATGTTATAGTGGATGGTTCTTTGTGTAAGAGGCTCTGACTTTGGGATCTAAGATAGCAAGAAACCCATTCATTTCTCTGAGTTTAGAATACAAAATCATAAGAAATTATCCTACATGTAGTTAGGCTTTGGTTGCAATCAAGTATTTCTTCACTTTACTTTTTTGTTGCTCATTTTTAATACATCCTAACAACTTTGGCATTAACCAAATACATTATTTTAAAAATTAATGCTTCCTCAGTTTCTTAGGTAACTGCCGTTAATTGAATATCCCTTAACCTCTTAAAATTGTTCCAACCAGAGACATGTAAAATACTTTAGTGCTCTATATTAATCAGGTGGATAAGGTGAAGGTAGAAAAGAGGATGGAAGGAGTATAATAGTGCTTTTATAATCCCAAATAAGATAATCCAGAAGTATTTATATTTGACTTGAGATAGTGCATTATTCTTTTTTTATTTTTTTTTTGTCATCAGTAATCCGTTCTTGAGTTATCAAGGACTGGCCATACATATTTATTGTCTCTAAATAATACTAATAATAGTTGTGTGGAGGAGGGAGAAGGGGAGAGGGGGAGGTAGAGAGGGAGGGAAAGTGGAGAAGGTAGGGATTACATAGTATACACTTATAGCGTACCCAGTGGGCATGATTTTGTAATTTCCTCTTGCACTATGAGGTAGCTCAGAAGTTTTAATCAGGCAAGAAATAAATGTGCTGTTGATAAACTGTATGTACTTTGCCTGTTTTTCTTAAGGCCAACCCCAACAGTGAAGAGATCTGGTTGGCTGCTGTGAAACTTGAGTCAGAGAACAATGAATATGAGCGAGCAAGGAGGCTGTTGGCCAAGGCTCGGAGCAGTGCTCCCACTGCAAGGGTGAGCAAGGGAAGGGGAGGAGCGATGGGCCTGCCTATGCTTTGTAGGGGCCCTCTGGGATGGAGTATTGTGAGGAGGCGCTGGAGAATTCCGTTCACGCAAATCAGGTGGGAGGGTTGAGGGCATCTGGGGTTCTGTTACATATATTGGAAAATATTTTCTTGTTGCTAATGATTGTGGTTTTTTTTGTGGAGGAACAATGTCATTTTTTGAACAAAGTTGTTCTAGTTTGTCTAGCACACAGGTGGGTTAGCTTTTTGTCCTTAGGGTCTAGTGTTATTATAATATAGAACTTGTGTAGATCCAGTGGGTTCTGTCCTTGGTTTTGTTCTGTTCAACATTGTTCTCATTTTGATGTGAAGTAGTTGATGTAGTAGAAAAGGGCAGGTGTCTCTGAAGTCAGAGAACTTGGGGGAGAACTTGTCATTCTTATACTTAGCGGCTTTGTTACCATGGGTAAATCACTTTTATTTCACTTGATTTCCTTGCGTATAAAATGAGAATGCTATTTATCCTAATTATTTCACATTGTGATAGTGTGGAAAGCACTTTGTAAACCTTAAAATAGTATAGGTTGTCCCTAGAGTTCAGGGCAGTTTTAAGCTTTAACCTTTTAAAATTGCACTAAGACTTTTAGGACTCCTTGTATAACAGGAGGGCCTGGATCTGTGAGTTCCTTGGTGCAGAAAGCTCCCTCTGCCAATCAAAGTCATTACCTTCTCTGAAACTTACAGTCTCAGAGACTTGCTGAGGGCAGGGCTTCTTAAACTTTTTCCACTTCTTTTGGCGTTGCTTGGCCTAAAGCGTTGTTTTCAGAATCAAGGCTGCAGTGAGGAAACAGTTGCATGATGCAGTGTGGATGAGGGCTGCAGAAACACCTCGAATTCATTACACATTTGATTTTGAATTAATTTTTGGTCATTGGGCATTCAGAAACTTTTTACTGTTGCCAAGTTTTTCCCTGCCCCATATGGGGTCTTGACCCACAGTTTAAGAAGAGTACTTAGAGGTTGTGATTGGCCCAGAGTCATATAGCCTGTATGTGTCAGAGGTGAGACCTGAGTCCAGGGCTTCCTGGCTGCAAGGCCAACTCCACTGTGCCTCTCATTAAAAACAAAACAAAACTACACAGAAAAAAAAAAACCAACCCACTAAATAGATGTAAATTATTATTATGGAGATATGATGTGACAACACATCTTCATCATATTTATAGTGACACAAAAGTGGGAAGGAAAGCTAATTATGTTTAAACGGCAAAATCAGAATTGGAAAATAGCTCCATAGACTAGAATTATGGACAAAATCTAATAAGATAAAATTAAATAAAGACAAATATAATGTCCTACCCTGAGATTTTAAAAATCAATTGCGTAAGTATAGGTTGAACAGACTGTAGCTGGAAAGCAGTTCATGTGAAAAAAGATCTGGAGGTCTTAAGGAACTTCAAGCTCAGTATGAGTTAACATTATGACAAGGCCATAAGTAAAGCTGATGGTATCTTTGAGTGCATTAATAAAAACATAGCAGGGCAGCTAGGTGGTGCAGTGGATAGAGCATCGGCCCTAAAGTCAGGAGGACCTAAGTTCAAATCCGGCCTCAGACCAAACACTTGACACTAGCTGTGTGACCCTGGGCAAGTCACTTAACCCCAATTGCCTAAAAATAAAAAAAATAATAATAGAAACATAGTGCCCAGAAGGAGGGAAGGTGATAGATTCACGTGTATTCTATCCTGATCAGACCTTTCCTCCATTTATTCTGGGGTCCATCCAGAGGAATGTAAACAGCATGGTAAGGGAATTCAAAACTAACCGTAGTATGAGCTTTTTGATGAAATAGGGATATTGAGCCTGGAGAAGAGAGTACTTAGAGTGACATTATACTTGCCTTCAAATATTTGAAGGAAAGTCATGTTAAAAAGGAGATATGTAGGGGCAGCTAGGTGGGGCAGTGGATAGAGCAGCGGCCTTGAAGTCAGGAGGACCTGAGTTCAAATCCGGCCTCAGACCAACCACTTGATATTTACTAACTGTGTGACCCTGGGCAAGCCACTTAATCCCAATTGCCTAAAAATAAAAAAAATAAAAGGAGATATTTAGACCTTTTGACTTGGTCTCAGAGGGCAGAAGTAGGACCAAGATGTGGAAGTAGCAAAAAGGTAAATTTTGGTTGATTATGATGAAAGAGTTCCTAATGACTGGAGTTGTTTCAAAGTACAAAGAGCTGTCTTTGGAAGTAGTGAATTCCCTATTACTTTGCGGTCTTCATTTGAAATTGACTATCAAAGATGTTGAAGAGGAGATTCATGCTTCATACATGGACTGGATCAAATGATCTCTGAGGTCTCTTTGTTACTCAAGTATTGTATGAATTTTTATATGTTTGGAAGAAGACAGTACCATCTTTTATGCACTTACATGTTATGACTGAAAGCTGGTGTACAGAAGTTTTTATACCATTCTTTGCAGAAAATATGGCAGTGCTGATAACACTGAAGCAGTGATACCTTTTATTCTAGTTTTTTACCATTTGGTGCTTTTGACTTATGTGAAGCTTCTTTCTTTGCATGACAAAAAAAAATACTAATAAATTGATTTGTGGTTAATAAGTGGTAAAACCCATTCTGTTGTTGCCCAGGTGTTCATGAAATCTGTGAAGCTTGAATGGGTGCTGGGGAACATTGCAGCTGCTCAGGATCTCTGTGAAGAAGCCTTGAAGCACTATGAAGATTTTCCCAAACTGTGGATGATGAAAGGGCAGATTGAGGAGCAGGAGGAGCTGACTGAAAAAGCCCGGGAAGCCTATAACCAGGGGGTAAAGGAGCTGTGATTCAAACTGTTTTTCATTCATCGAATGGCTGTCCTGGCTTTCACTGTCAAAGTGGTGGTCTTTATTAGTGAATCAGCTGTTGATCTTTATTAGTAGGCAGAATGATAAGACCTCAGGGTTTAGCAGTGAGGAGCTACTTATTAAGTAAAGTGACTTGGCCAGGATTATTGAATATTCCCTTCTTAACTTCATTACATATACGTAAACCTTGTAAATTCCTTTGAGAGCTATGAATATAAATTGTAATGTTAACTTTACAGTAGCTCAAATGAAACTTTTTTAAGAGTTTAGGTTTGAAAAGAAGTCCAGATTTATATAACACCTTTGGTTTTATATACTACCTGTTACATGCCGTGTTGGTGCCTATGGGGATGTACATTAGAGATTTCCTTTTTCAGCCATTCTGGTTGAGACTAAACATTGAAAAGGTAGGACGTTCTTAGGTGACATATGAAAAATCTGCTTCCCCCTCCCCCCACCGCAGGGGAAAAAAAAAGTGAGGTAGCAGAGACATGTAGCAGAGACAGATTTATTTTATTTTGAGGCTTATTTCGTTCTGTTTCTCGGGTCTCTATAGGAGGTGGTATTAATTTCCTGATTTCTACTCCCTCTCCAATAGTTGAAGAAGTGTCCCCACTCTACACCCCTATGGCTTTTACTTTCAAGACTGGAGGAGAAAGTTGGACAGCTAACCAGAGCAAGAGCCATTTTGGAGAAATCTCGTTTGAAGAATCCAAAGAACCCTGATTTGTGGTGAGTCACAGTCTTGTTTAACATGTGCCTTCGAACTTCTACTTGTAGATGGGCTCTGCAAAATGAGGGCTTCTTATATCCCTTGATAAAAAGGAGATTGAGGAGTTTTTTTCCTTCATGGTCAATTTCTTTTTGATAGCTTGGCTATCTCTGGAGGGGTTGAATTTATATGTATATTTATGCTTTGAGTGGCTGTGAGTGCTAATTACTTTGTGTTTCTTCTGGCCATGCTTAGTATCCTAGATGAAAAGTAATCTTTAGTGAGCAGGCCTATCATTTTTCAATGTATCTTCCCTTTTTGATTTTAATAATGTTAAGGAATATCAGGTTTTCAACCTTTTGTTGGCTGCTATTAAAATTATCTATTTTATATCAAAGAATGGTAATGGCATAGGCACATCACAATCTTTTCCATTACTCTTCACAAATGCATTATTCAAGGTATAGTGGAACTGTTAGTGATCTAAGTACCTTATGGCTACTACTACTATTGTTTAGTGAGTCTAAAACCCTGGTCTTTCATATAGAGCTATTTTGAAGCTACTGGGGTAGTAATTGGGTTAGTTGCTTAATTTTGATTGGGTATTTGATATCTGTGACTTCAGGTTAGAATCTGTGAGATTAGAATACCGAGCTGGATTGAAGAACATTGCTAATACACTCATGGCAAAGGCGCTGCAGGAATGTCCCAACTCAGGTAAGGAACGAGTTTCTTTAGTATAGCTGTTCTGTCTTGGTGGACAGCAATAGATCCTGAAGAATCCAAGATTCAAATTCATATTTAATTAAAAGCTATTATATTTGAACTGGCTTAGAGTTTGGATCACTTGAACCTACTTGACTTAAGTTCCAAATTCAAAAAGTTAGATAGGGAGACATAGATAAGTCTGATTAGTAGCCCTGAGAATCATATGCTGTTTGCTGTTTCAGAGAGCAAGTATTCTTATCTGTATAGATTACAAAAGATTTTCTGTAACAAATGTTTGCCATTTATAATAGCTGACATTTAGTACATTAAGGTTTATAGAGTACTTTGTATCCATTCTTATTTGGTCCTCACAACTGTCCTGGAATCTAGATAATACGGTATTGTCTCTATTTAACAGATGAGAAAACAAAATCACTCAAGAGAGGTTAAATAATTTGTCCATGGCTACACAATCAGTAAACGTTAGAGGTAGAATGTAAGTCATTTAGTCAACAGCCTCATCCATATCGTGACCTGAGATTTCTCTCCTGATGCCATTGGGCTTAATTTCTCTCAAGAGGACACACACACATACACACACACACTTACACATCCACATATACACACACAGCGTAGTAGGTAATTTTGAAGAAGATAGCAATACCAGATGAAGAGATCAGGAAATTCTTATGAAGATGTGGCATTTGAACTGAGTTTTGATGTAACAAGGGATTCTAAAAGGTGGTGAAGAGGGAATGCACATGATAAGACAGCTAGGGCAAAGTATGGTGGCAAGGATGGAGTGTGGTGTAAGGAACATCGGAAAAGACCAAGGCAACAACGGTAGGTGGGGCTAGGTTGTAAAGAGCATTAAATGACAGAGGAGTTTATATTTGATCCTAAAGGCAATAGCCATTGGAGTTTATGGAGTAGGGGAGTATCATAGTCAGACTTGTGCTTTAGGAAAAATCGCTGACAGCTGTCTAGGATATGGACTAGATTGAGGAGAAACTTTAGTAGGGAGGCAAATTGGGAGATTTTTGTGATAATTTAGTTGAGAAGCATGAACCTAGGGGTGGTGGCTATGTGATTAGGAAAAAGGAACAGAAACGCTAAGATTTGGCAATTGATAGAATATGTGGAGTGAATGAGAGTGAGGAGTTGAGAATGACACTGAGATTGTGAACTTGGGTTACTGGAAGGATAGTGGTGCCTAAATAGCTGAAATAGGGAAGATTGGAAGAGTGGTGGGTTGTGAGGAGGAAGATAAAGACCTCTGTTTTGTACAAGTTGAGTTTGGGATGTGTATGGAAAATCCAGTTTGAAATGTCCAATGAAGGCAGTTGGTGATACCTTATTCAGGAGAGGGACTAGGGTTGGATATATAAATCTAGGAGTCATCTGCATAGAGATAATTAAATCCACAGCAGCTGATGAGGTTACCAAGTGAGAGAACATAGAGAAAGAAAAGAAGAGGGCCCAGGACAAAAAGCTTTGGAGAGAATCTCAGGTCATGATATGGATGATGAAAAGGAGGCTAAGAAGGAGTATTCTAATAAATAGGAGGAGAACCAAGAGAGAGCAGTGTCATGAGACTTAGAGAGGAGAAAGTAACCAGGAGAAAAGGATAGTCAACAATGTCAAATGCTGCAGAAAGGTCAGGGTGGATGAGGGTTGAGAAAAAGCCATCAAATTGGGTAATTAAGAGATTATTGGTAATTTTGGAGAGAACTGTTTTGGTTGATCAATATTGTTCTAAGCCACATTGCGAAAAGCTCATGAGTAAATTAGAAGAGAGAAATGGAGTCACCAAGTGTAGACAGCTTTATCATAGGAGTTTGGGAAAGAGATATAGGATGATAGCTTGTGCGAGATGGTAGGAGACTACTGAGGGTTTTTTCAGAATAAGGAAGACTTTGAGTATGTTCGTAGACAATGGGGAAGGAACCAGTAGGTAGGGAGAGTTGGAAGATTAGAATATAAGGATGATAATTTTCTGGAGAAGATTAGGAAAGGATAGGATCAAGGGTGAAGGCAGAGGTGTTGGACCTGGCAAGGAGGAAGAAGGGCTACCTCAGTGTCAAAGACTGGGGGAGTGAAGGAGAGCCTTCACTACACCCACCAATATCAGTTCATGAACCTCAAAATGTGTGGACAAAGGAAGAGAAAGCTGAACGTTTGATTTCCCAGGGAGGTATGATTTTGGTGGACTATTTCCATAGTTTCCAGGGATGAGATGATAGAGAAGATGGAATCACCTAAGTCTCACAGTATCTACAGACACATCCAGCTGCTGGTTCTCTTACTGTTCAGCCTTTATCTAGTAGTAAGTGAGTTGACCTACTGCTGTAGATGTCAGCTGCAACCTTCTTGCAATGACTGAAGCTAGAAGACACAAAGCTGCAACGGAATGGAAGGATGCTTACAGATTCACCTCGGAGAGGCAAATGAAAAGGTTGGTGAAATTGGCTTTATCTTGTGCCCAAAGGGAACAAGAAACATTTCAACTTGGTCATCTACAGTAAGTAATAGACCACCATGAAGTTGATTGGAGCTTATACACTAACATCTGTTGTGGAGCATGAAAACAAATTCTGGGACCTTACCAAGAGTCAGCATATGCCTTAGACTTTAGAATGAACATAGTGGCAGAGGGAGGACAGCAAAAATTGTTGGAAAATGTGTTCTAGGATCAAGAAATGAAAAAGAGAGGTCAAAGGCTTGTAGTTTCGTACCTGAACATTCTGTACACTTCAGTAAGAGTTGGAAGGTGTTGGACATGATGAGCATCAAATAACAACATAAAAATGCAATTGACTGTATCTTAACAGACATGAAGCAACCATTTATAGATGTAGCAGTATTTTAGAATCAGCTGTCTGTATGTAGTCAGATTGTTAGCTGGTTACAGCGGAGGCCAAAATAAATACTAAATTAGAAGAAAGGATAAAATTAGAAGATACTGCATGTGTATCCTTTGGGAAATCACTTAACTTTTCTGGGGTTCAGTTTCTTCATCTGTAAATTGAGGCATTTGGATTACAAACAGCACTAACCTGACCATTTTAAATATGTTACAAATTACAAGAAATTTAAAATAAACAACAGTAAAGACATTGTTACCATTTGTTAGAGAAGTTTAACTGATAGAAAACAGTTACTAGAGTATGGAGTTGGAAAGAGCCAAGAAATTTCCTCAGCTTGCAGTCTCCTTGCCAAGCAGAGAGACATGGCAGCCAAAGGCAGCATTCCTTTAAAAGATAAGTCCATTTGCAAAATATTTGAAGAGAACATGTTGGAAGACTTTGTATTGTATCATCTCACAAAACAGTGAAAGGCAATTCAGAAAACTAGTCTGCAGAGAACTTAGATTATACTGAGAACATTTATTCATGAAGTTGGAAGTAGAACAGTATGTACATATAAAAAGGAACAGATTGGCAATGTTATTTTTAATAGTATTTTTTACCCAATTACATGTAAAGACAATTTTTAACATTTTGTTTTTTAAAAATGTTGAGTTCCAAATTATTTCCCTCCCTCATTCACCACCCCTCCCGAAGTTGGCAAAAATTTGATATAGGTTGTATATATACAGTCATGTAAAACATTTCCATGTTAGTTATGTTGTGAAAGAAGAAACAGGCCAAAAAAAAAAGAACCATGAAAAAAATAAAGTGAAAATAGCATGATTTGATCTGCATTCAAACACCATAGTTCTTTGGATGTGGATAGCATTTTCCATCATTGAGGCCTTTGGGATTGTCTTGGATCATTATATTGCTGGGACGAGCTAAGTTGTTCATAGTTGATCATTGCATAGTGTTGCTGATACTTTGTACGATATTCTCCTGCTCACTTCACTTTACATCAGTGCACGTAAACCTTATCAGCTTTTTCTGAAATCTGCCTGCGTCTTATAGCACAATAGTATTCCTTTACGAAATTCTTTTACCACAATTTGTTCAGCCATTCCCTGATTGATGGGCATCTCCTCAATTTCCAATTCTTTGTCACCACAAAAAGAACTGCTATGAGTATTTTTGTACACGTGGGTCCTTTTCCCTTTTTTGTGATCTCTTTGGGATACAGACCTAGTTAGTGCTATTGCTGGATCAAATGGGGTGTGCAGTTTGATTGCCCTTTGAGCAATCCAAATTACTCTTTAGAATGGTTGCATTAGTTCACAACTTCACCAACAGTATGTTAGTGTACCAGTTTTCCCACATCTTCTCCAACATTTATCATTTTCCTTTTCTGTCATATTAGAGATAGGGATTATTATTGATTTGTTTTCATAAATGATGCTAGTAGAGCAATTATATTTAGATTTATTACTTCAGTATCTGATATAAGAGGAGTAGTAATGGCATTGAAAAAAGATCTACGTTAGTAAAGTGTTTGGATCTGATTAAATGCAGAAAAACATTCATGCTGGAGGCATTACATTTTTTTTTTTTAATTTTTAACATGTGTTTTTAAAACTTTGGGTTACAAATTTTCTCCCTTCCTCCCTCCCCACCCACCCTCATTGAAAAGAGCATCTCGATGTAGGTTATAGATGTGTAGTCATGCAAAACACTTCCATAGTAGTCATGTTGTGAAAAACTAAGTTCATCCTATCCTACCCCCCATTTATTCTATTCTCTCTTTTGACCCTGTCCCTCCTCAGAAGTGTTTGTTTCTGATTATCCTCTCCCCTTTATCAACCCCCTGCTCTCTTGTCCCCTTCCCCCCTTATTTTCCTGTAAAGTAAGATAGATTTTCATACCCCATTGTGTATGTTATTCCCTCCTTAAGCCAAATCTTATGAGAATAAGATTCACTCATTCCCTCTCACCTTCCCCCATTTCCCCTTCACTGTAAAAGCCTTTTCTTGTCTGTTTCCTGTGAGATAATTTACCCCATTCTACTTCTCCCTTTCTCCTTCTCCCAGTGTAGTCCTTTATTGTCCCTTAATTTTATTTTCCAGATATCACCCCTTCATCTTCAACTCACCCTGTGCCCTC